GTGTTTATATATCTTTTTTATTCTTCTTTTTCCTCTTTTTGATGAGTTTGAAGTTGTTTCTGAATCGGAATAATATAACTGATCATGGATTGGGCAATTTTTATTTACTGATTCTTTTAATTTTTATAGTGCGTCTAGACTACTGACTTCTGATTCGGAGAATGCATTTCTATTTTTTGAAAATCTTTTTCGTGTTATCTGTCTTTGTTTACTTAAAATTTTCCTTTTTATTATTTGTCGTTTTGTTCGAATGTATCCAACTGTTTGTGTATGCGGGGTTATTACAAAATCGTATTTTTGGTTGTCAATTTCACAATTGTGTAAAACGATTGTTTGTTTATTTCCTAAATTTTTCAATGACATAAGGTTTAGGATGAGGGATGCAAGAAGTTATTAGTGATTTTAATTTTCCTAGACTGTTAGTCCTTACGATTTTTTGGTTAGCTTAACCTGGGTTTTTTTGTTCAGGGTTGGAGAGAAAATCATCTCGATTCCGAAGAATGATTTTTACTTTCTCGTGGCTTGTCTAAGTTAAGGTGTTAACCTACTTAATCTTACTTAGGGTTAGTGATTGTGTTCAAGGGCTGGAGAATAGTAAGGCGATCCACAAGGTTCAGGTATAATTAGAACGCAAGTAGTTCGTTAGATACTATTTTAAACTTACTAAGTTTAAGATTTATCCTGGGTCAGGTAAGTGGAGGGTTCAAGTGAAGGATGAATAACCGAAGTTCTTCACTGTTTAGCTTAATTTGAATGGTTAGCGTGATTAAAAAATTTCTATTAGTCCTGGGTCTTTTGAAAAGGTTGGGTAGTGAATCGACATTTGAGGTCGTTAGACACTTGATAAGTGAGTGGGGAGAACAAAATTGTTCTTTTTGATCCAAGGATAAGCCTTGATGATCAGAATTTAAAATTTATAAGATAGAAAATTGATTTAGATCCAAGGAAAGCCTTGATGATCTGGTTTAAGATTAAATAAAATTAAGTTAAAAATAATTTAAATATATTTGGTAAAAAAAAATTTTAGTTTTTGATGATATTAGTTGATTTATGATTGCTTTTATGTTTAGGTGATGAAGCTGGAACAACAGGATGATTTAAATATACTAACAATTGATTGTCTTGCTACTAATTTTTGTTTTTGTTTTCAATAAATATTTTTTCAATTATGTTTTATATATTACCGCAGAATTGGGGGGAACGATTTGAGATCTTTTTATCAATTGTTATTGTACAATAAAAATTTTATCTAGCGCCTGAAATAATCATTGAAGACTTCCTTCAAGGATTTTACGTTTGTAAATGAAAATCCAAATTCATTGCTAGTAAGATTCTAAAAATAAAAGTTTGTGTTGGCTTTTGCCGTACGACCATGAAACTTAATGGTAAGTTTCTATGTAGTCGTATGTCGTCTCTTGTCCGAGTTCATTTTCCAATACCGGGTAGTTCTCATATTGTGCGGAATAGCGGCTCTGATCTATTGAGTCGTAGAGACATTTCAATTAAGCTATTGTCGTGTATCATTTTGAAAACGTTTTGTTTACTTTCTAATCTATTTTTGGTTAATTCTTAGCTATTTTGTTTTTAAGGTCTTCATTCGAGACTTATGGTCGCACCAGATGAGTTATGTGTTATGGAAATAACTCATAGAGTAATTTCGGATGGGGTACACCGTCTGCTCGTCACGCTATCTTATTTTCGGCCGGAAAGATTCGTGCAACTTCTTAGTCTAATACCGAACCTAATCTTACTCTTATATCTACTAGTCTCAGGGTGTTTAACTAGTCTCTGCTAGGCTCAATAGATCTAGAGTATACTGGCTTATTACGGCTGCTGAAGTTCTCTTGGAGAGTTAACTAATTTCTAAGTTAAATTCAAATCTCCCTGTTGCTGAAATTACAAGTAATTTCAGCACTTACAAATAAGTGGGTTGTTAATTAGATGGAATATGATTGTTTAATATTAAATATTTTAAGTGATAAAATATCTAATTTATCCAATAATAAAATGTAGTTTAGATCAGGTTCCAGTCCGCTAAGACTTTAAAAAATATATACATTTAAAAAAAATTTTAAATGTTTTTTGTCCTTGTTTTCCTATTTTATTATAACAATCTTTATTCTAGACAACCATTTTATCTATTATAGCTCAAAGTTTCAACCGTGAAATTCTAATAGTTGTAAAAAAAAACGGCTCATGACAACGAAACCTTTCAAATTATATGAAAAAAAAATTGAGTGCCCATTAATTCAGAGTGCGTCAGAGAAGTGTTCTTGGAGCTCAAAAAAGTCACTGTAAACAGCAGTTCGAAAAAGTTCGCTTTAAAAGTATTTGATGGAAAGCTAAAGGTTTAGGCTACGCCCTCATACAATCTTCACTTTAGAAAAAAGACTTTATTTTTTTTATTCTTGGACAAAGTTTGCTGAAAATTCAGCAATTTTTTATTGAAAAATGCAAAAATATAGGTCAATTTTTATTCGTAGCTCAGCCATTTTTTGTATTCTGTTTTAATTGAGAGTAAGCCTAAATAAGGCCTGCTTTAGCTCCTTAGTTTTAAAGTCGGAAGATTTGAACTGTTCTGCTGTTGACGTTTTTTTTCGCTCTAAAAAGTTTTTTTCTGTCCTCTGATTAAGTGGCTAAATGATCTCTTTAGATCAAATTTGACGGTTTTTTATCCAGCTATTTACTGGGCATCAGCTTTATCCGTTGTATGTCAAAGTATCAACCGTGAATCTCTAGTAATTGTAGAGAATATGTTTTTACAATTGGGCTCAGCAAAACATCAACAGTGAACCTCTAAAAAGTGTCGGGAATATCTTTTGAAATGTAGGCTCACACAAGCCGGAATAATTACGCTTTTTGAAAAGAAAGATTTGTTTTAGCCCGAATCAGTTGCAATGAAAATAATAGAAACCTTAAGAAACTACCCGTTCATTGGTTTATTCCAAAAAGAGTTACAGATTGTTTGTTTTGTAAACGAAAATTTCAAAAATATTACGAGGTCAAATTTTTCACTGTCTAGTCGCATATTTCGGTTTTGTACGTCACTGAATCCAGAGACAAGTCAATAACTTGTTCGCAAAGGTAGGTGAAGGCCAATTACAAAAAATCCATGGATTCTGCGCTCAAACAGGTGTAACGTAAATGTTGTCGACACATTAGATTTATCGCGGGTTCTGCAACAATTAATTATAGGTAGTTAGTTCGGATTCCACGAAGGTAAGCGGATTCCGCGGTTTCCGTAGATTCTGCTTACAGTGTGGAGTCCGCTTAGAAATAGTGGATTCCGCTTAAAGTCGCGGATTCCTCAACAGCATGGTTTTACTATGTATATACGTTATTACTTGCTTGTATACGCCATAAGTTGTTCCGAATTCCGCAAAGGTTGTTGAAAATTTTGCCAGTTTTATTGCGGATTCTGAAAACAATCCGTTTTTTTGACAATACAGTGTTTTAGCAAATTGTTCGTGCAATCCGAAACAGCAAAGAAGGTCAAAGAGAACTAGCAGTTTTTCGGATTACGCGACAAATCAGTTTTCGGCCTGTTGCGGAATCTGTTTAGAATTCCCAAAAAACGCAGTGTGGCCTCGTAATGCTTTGACGCCCCACATTTTATAATCTAGTTCTTCAGAAAACCAATCGCTATACAATATTTTTAATCGAGCATAGAAAACCAATCGCTATACAGCATTTTTAATCGAGCGTAGAAAACCAATAGCTATACAACTGCAAAACAACTCGGACATTTCTTTTTTTGGGCTTTACTATTGCTCGTCATTTACTCGGTAAGTTGGATATCCACGATGATAATTTGGTGCTTACATGTTGTTCAATTGGTAAAATAAAAAAGACTGCTCGTACATCAGAGCAACACCCTTAACGTTTCCATTGCCTTCTTAACTTGTTTGTAAAGTGCGTTTGGTGTAAGAAATTATATAAAGTTAATTTTTCGAGAAAAAAAAAGAATTAAAATGTTTAGTTGTTAATGTTATCGCCGACACACTCATCAAGCCGTGTAAAATACCAAGTGCTATAGTTTTCGCGTGGTAAAGTAATTAAAAGAGCCAGTTGCTTGCTTCAGTTCAGTTTGAAAAGATGTAATTTGCCGCTGACGTTTTAATAGAACGAAATATGTTCAATTTCTAAATCATTTCAAATTATACATTACGAGACCAAACTGTGCACTGGATAGGCGCACAATTTTGTGTCTGTATGTTCCTGGAATCCAGAGACAAACCTTTAAACATACTCCAAAAAGTAAGTGGATTCAACTTACAAAAGTTTCGTGGGTTCCGCATACAAATAGCGCTAATGTAAATTTTGTCGGCACAACTGTTTTGCTGCGGATTCCGAAACAAGCAAATATAGCTAGTTGTTGAGGGTTCCGCAACTGTAAGTGTATTCCGCAAATTGTAAGTGGAATCCGCAAAGTGTAAAAGGAATCCGCAAATATATGTGGAATCCGCAAACAAAATGCGGATTCCACTTAAAATTTGCGGACTCCACTTACAATTTGCGGATACCACTTATAGTTTGCGGATTCCGTTTACAGTTGCGGATTCCCCAACAGCTCAATGTAGCTATACACAGGTCTTATTATTTGTTTGTGGATTCAACAAATTGTTCTGGATTCCGCAAAAACAATTGCAGATTCAGCAAATTTGCCTGTTTTTGGAGCAATTTTAAGCGGTGCAATGTTTTAAGTAATTGTTTGTGGAATCCAAAACAGCGCAGTAGATCAAAGAATAGTAGAAATGCTGCGGATTTCACGACAAATCTGATTTTGGTATGTTGCGGAATCCGTTTACAATGCACAGAATGCACAGTTCGGCTTCGTAATGTAGCCGTCAAAATAGTCCCAGTCATAAAAATTCCAATTTTTCTTCGGAAGTCGTGACAATTAAATCATCTAGTAGGGTTTTGGAAAAAAAACAGTTTCTGTTAAATCGAAAAATAAATATATAAATATTAAATAAATCGCTATCAGGGCTCTGGGTTTAGTTTTTAAGTCAATAAAACGAAAAAATGATTCAGCTAATTTATATAAAACTGATAAATTTTCTTTTTTAGTTGAGCTCACAATATTACGTAGTAGCCAAATGTTTCAGTTAAATTTAACAGTTTTGATGAAAGGGTCAATTGTCTAGATCCAAATTTTCAGATCTGGTTTTTCTAGATCTAGTTTTACGACAGCACATATTAGTAAATTTCAACTTCACTGCATCTCGAAACTCAAACCAAGACCAACCATAGAGAATCGGGTTCATCGCCGCGTTTAAAATAGGAATAAGTTCAGCTAGATTGTTGAACCAAGCATCGAAAATACCGTCATTCGTTATTTTGAAGACGTTAGTCAGCCAAATAATCGCCGGTGTCCAGGTTACCAAGTATACTAAAAGCAGCACAGAAGTTCTTACACTCATTGAAATCAGAAACTTCTTAGTAGTTTTGTATGCGTCATCACTTTCTACCGAAGTAATAGTATTGTTTCTCAATTCATAATACTTTTTTGCATCGTGCATTGTTTTGAACAATCCCAAATAACACCACGTCATGATTCCCAAAGGTAAAACTAAAATCAAAACGAGTACTTCTACGCCAACGATATATCGTAATTTATCTGATCTCCAGCTGAAGAAGCAAGTCTGAGTCTCACTATCAACGTAATATTCCCACAAATCGTTGTTCATAGTTAGGAAACCTAATACCCATAGAGCAACAATTGATAACCGGATTCGCAGCTTAGAAACGAAAAAATATTTATGCCATTTGAACTCTCCTTGTCCACCGTATAGATCCAAAGTTAGCCAAACTAAATGCCAAGCTGATACTGCAGATAAAGCGAATATAAGAAAAATCGAAAAGAATGTAGAACATGCCAAATTGCCGAAAAAATTGACAGGCACCTTATAATCACTCGGAAAGTTAATAAGAGCAAGAAATGTCAAGTTAATACTTAAATCAGAGAAAGCTAGCGATTTTAAAATCGTCAACTGAGGTGCATTTTGCTGAGACCATAGAATGGTGATGACAAACAGATTATTAAGCGAGCCATACGAACCGAGAAGGGTTAATGGCCAATAGATATAGGTTGTGTCATAAATTCCAGCAAAAAAACTCCAGCCATTGGAGTTGCTGTCGTTGGTCATTATGTGACAAAGAAACCAATGTAATCCGCGTTTTCTTTCTTCACAAACAGTTTCAAGTTCTGTTCAGTTTAATATCGACCATTAATCAAATACGGTCCTTCGCTGTTCAGCAAACCATCAATTTGACTTATGGTTCACTGAATATGATATTTTGTCAGGCTAAACAGAAATCAACTGGCAAATTGCTTAATATTACAAAACAAAACCAGTTCAAAGTTATTCGGATTAATGCCGAATTGTTTAGTAATTTTCATGACAAAAAATACGGAAGTAACAAGCTACAAAGTTTTGCCCGTTTTTGAATAAGACTAAGGTCTGGGATGTTTCATATCTTTTAAAGTTTGAAATAGTACTTCGTAGAAAACAAATTTAGTGTTTAAGTATATTCAATTGTTAAATTCATAGTTATAACTCTTTGATGTTTTTCTTAACCAGTTCAAAATATTTGTCACTTGATTGGCATGACAGTTACTCGACTATCAACTTACTGGCTGATGTCGTGTTTCGTAGTTTTATAATAG